GCTCTCTCTCTCTCACTCTCTCTCACTCTCCCTCCCCTCTCTCCCTCTCTGTCTCCCTCCCTCCCTCCCTCCCTGTCTCTTTCTATCCCCCCTCCAACCGCCTTTAAAAATATAATAACACAGATGTCCCTCTGGCTTGAACAGTCAGTTATCTCCTCTACAATGCGTGACTGTCTATGACAAATTCCTCTGTAATATATTTTCTTGGTTTCAATATAAAACTGTTAATATTCACGTTAAAACTAAAAACTAAGTATGAGGGTAACCATTCTCACAACATCCTTGAGAAACTGACATAAGATGTAAAAATCTGACAAAAATGGAGAAAAATAGATGACTTGATTTTTAACAGCTCAATCATCCTAGCTAGATACCTAACACAAATTATCTCCGTGAGATTTCTTTTATGAAGATGAAAGTTTCATTCATAACTTTCTGAGAAGCGTCAGTCCTCAACAGCCCCGGTGCTCCCAGATAATAGTCTAGATGAAAGCCTCCGTGACTAAAATGAAGCTGCGTCTTGACTCCCGCGTCCTTGAGACGGCGAGCAAAAAGCAGACCGTCGTCTCGTACAACGTCAAACTCCGCCACGTGAACAAAAGCAGGCGGCACCCCGCTCAAGTCATCCGACATCAGGGGAGAGAACAGCGGGTTGGTAATGACCTGTTTGATTTTGTTGAACACTTTTTCCGAATAGCTTCCCTTGATTTTTCCAGGAAATTTCTTCGACTTCCTGAACTTTTCTGGCAGTAGCTTAGAATCCACATACTCGGCATACTTGGACTGATACAACTGTGGTGAAAGGTGGCGGTTCTCAGAGATGATCTTAGTCACATTGTCAACATTCTTCCCATCTGTAAGGACGAAAGATAAGAAACGATGAGATTAGATAAGATACGATAAGATAAGATAGGATAAGAAAAGGTAGGTGAGACAAGATAAAATCAGATACGATAAGATAAGAAAAAGGCAAAGAAAGATAGGACATGACTTGACAAGATACGATAAGATAAAGCAAGACAAGATAAGATAAGATTCATTGATCTTCACTAAGAGGAATTTGTTGCGGAATGGTACTGACATGGATATGTCCTCGTCAGCACAGGCAAAATACACACACACACACACACACACACACACACACACACACACACACACACACACACACACACACACACACACACACACACGCACGCAATCATTGTGCTGTTGAGGCTACAGAGGTGATCAGATTAAGCCTGATTCCCCATTTTGACGTCTCTGTTGACATCCACACCTTGACGCTCATACGACCTTATGCAGTAGCGAGCGCCATAAAACCTTACACACACTCATGCACTCACACACACACACACACACACACACGCGCACACACACACACACACACACACACACACGCACACACACACACACACACACACACACACACACACGCGCGCGCGCGGATTCAAAGTAATCAGATGGACATACGAAATAATGTTTCGTCTAGCACACCTGTAAGCAAGGACATACATTTTCAGCAAATTTATTTAAACGAGCTATTTAGTTGGATGGTTCATTACTCTATTACCTAATGTCTCATAGAAACAAATACATATTTACAGAAAAATCGCTTTTGGAGTTAAGGTTGTAGTGGGGGTTGGGGCGATTGGGGTGGGGGTTGGTTGGTGGGGGTTGAGATGAGGATTGGGTTGGGATTGGGGGGTGGGGTTGAGGTGAGGATTGGGTTGGGATTGGGGGGGGGGGTTGAGGTGAGAATTGGGTTGGGATTGGGGGGTGGGGTTGAGGTGAGGTAGGGGCGGGATTGGGGATGGGGGTTGAAGTGTGGTTGAGGGGTGGTGGATTTGGCATTATGTTGGGGTTGGGTGGGGGTGAGGTAGGGTGTGGGGCTGGAATGGATGGGGGGTGGGGAGTGGAGAGTACAGAAAGCCAAAAGAAAACAGAGATAAACTCTTGATTTGTTTCTTAGAGATGACTTATTAAAAAAACCCACAATCAAAGCAAATAGCAAGTAATGGCCAAAGAGAGCCATAACAAAGAGCTGAAATCTATGTCTCTCAAGCTCTGGGATTTAGGGCGGAGACTGCTGTATGCGTGTCACTCGGCAGTTTTTGGGCACGTGGGGTTATTTGGTATAATCCTAAAGCTTATTCATTTTTGTTGCTTTCGAGAGAAAAAATTACCCATCTATCTTGAATACAAGTCGAGATATTTCTGACTGAAGAAGGAAGGAGACATCCGGTTTCAGAGGCAAAACTCGCGAGAAAATGGCCCCCAAAATTGGTGATTTTGATAGTTTGAGTCCTTGGAAACTGAAAATTTACATTTTTGTGCTTTTAATCACTGTTTTTCAGTCAAGTGGGTTTAAAAAAAATGAAAATAAAAGGTGTTGAGCCAAAGAACAAACATTTTAAAAAATTTCTGTTTTCTTCAATTGTATTATCTAACAAGTGCCTGATTTCACCTCACATATAATGATACCGTCCAAAAATGTCCAATTGTCTTGGACAACAACTTTTTTCCTCAACAATGGGTGGCCATCTTAAACAATTTCAACCGTACTTACACTTTCCCTGTAATGATTTTGCGAGGCTAAACTGTGGCGAATGTGGTGTTTAGACAAAACAGAAGTAACTTCAACCCTAGTAGACACATATTTCCACCGGCAGCAGACCAACAGCAATGTTGTGGCACATTTCCAATCATTATATATGCAAATAAAAAACAATAGAAAACAGAGTTGAACAATTCTGTAAAAATAAGGAAATTATGCTGCTTAACAAAAAAATAAAGTGGCCCATAGCAGCCCCAGAAAGCACATAATATGGTCATGGAGTTCACTAGCAGGCTTTGTTTCCCTCAGTTCTACAAAAAGTTGCAAAGGAAAACTTGTTGTCTATTGTGTTCCATAAAACTGAGACCATTATGAAGTGGCAAAGGAAAAAAAAAAAGAGAAGAAACATAGAATGGATATGAATAATCATGTGATGTAGGCCAATGACCTTAAATACTGAATACAATATCTACCAACTTACTTAGAGTATGTCATTACAACTTTTGATTCTGAAAAAAAAAGACTGATCTAAAATTAACAACATTCTGTCCTAGAGATTAACCCTATCCGTACGCCCTAGGGTCATTTTGTACCCCGGGGTTGTATTCCTCATATTTAAGAATGCTTCTAGTACGAAGATCTCTTTGAAACTTTCAGTATTTCTCAAAAAATCATTTTGACAGACTGCTATGCTAAGCATACGGATCAGATTAACAAGTAAATTTCCTCTTTGGAAAGTGGTGGCACAGAGTTCCCCACGTCGTACGATACGATTGTAAAACACGACATATGGACAGGGTTACTCCATACGTGTCATCAGCAAGCTCCTCTACTGCTTAGACCCACAGAGCAAAATATAAAAAACCAGGAAAAATTAGCAAGCAAATGGATGCCAAAGTTTGTTGAGATTCCAAGCTTAAGAGTCCTTGAAAAATGCAAGTTAACATTTTGTCAGTGCTTTTAATTTTTTAAAAATTCTGTAGAATACGCCCAGAAATGTGTTTTCTAATCAATTCCAATGGTGTTGAGCCAGAATAAAGCCAACAACCGGAAAAATGTTGATTTTTTCAAATTCATTATTTTGACAATTATTTCATTTCACCATGATGCCACACATATTTCTCAAACATTTACAGCCGAAAGCACGATTCTTTTTTTAATCTTAAATTAAAAAAAAATTGGGCTTAGTACATCTGCACAGCTGGCCAACAATACGTATGTGTGTGGGTACGGTATTTCCAAACTGAACTCACCAAAGCCCAAATACAGAGCATAAAAAGAAATTAAAGTGCGCGTCGTCAAGATAGGCAAATCGTTGTCTATGAAGGAAGGAAGTCTCATGTTGAATGCTTGCATTGCTGGTTCGTGCAGCACTTGAAATATCAGAGGAGGGAGATTGGACTTCTCCTTGGACAGTTTGAGGGACACCGCCGCAGCAAGATTTCCTCCCGCACTGTCACCTGGACACCAGAAAATAGCAATGAGCATTTTAGTTACCTTTACATTTTTCAGATTCCTTCACTTTCTTTTCCTTAACCCCTTCACTGCGAGACGTTTCCATATACCTTGTACAAGAAAGATAATGTTTATAAAAGAGACTTAGACAAAGCCGTAATGTTGTATCTTCCCCTTCATTTTAAGAACAAGCGACTGCACAAGCTATAATTACTAACACTTTCTCTTTTGAGCAGAGGAAAACAATAGTAGTGAACCCGTTTTGGAAATCATAGCCTGTACATACTTCTACCCAGCAGCGAAGAGGTTAATAATAATAACAATAAAACAACATTAATTTGTAACGAGCATAACCCCACTGAACTGTAAGCTCTCCGCACTTTGCCGTCTATATTACATGCAGTACCCCAGCAAACTCTACAACACTCAGAAACATTCTCGCCTTTCCTGGACGATTTAATGCAGGCAGCAAATTCAGCTATCAAACACTAACAAACTGGAAATGTCTTTTGATATCTAAAGCCGAGTACCCATTTCTACCTGGGTGAAAGTGTGGAAACACTAATAATAGTTGTAAAGCGAATAGAGCATGCTCTTGAGCATGAAAATAATGTGCTATATAAATGCAATTATTAATTAACTATTAATTGTTAATTAATTGATTAAACTTCGTGTCATGTGCCTTTCCCCATCCCCCAGACACAACATCAGGCCCGTGACACTGTTCAAACAAACGACCTTTCAGCTGCAAGCCCAACAGCCCACCCACTAGACCACCGACGTCACATTTCAACTTTTTGCTTTTCTCCTTTTACTTCCCTCTGACTTAAAAGAAAACCGAAAAGATTAAACAATTTCTGCAAATATTTATAAATAAGTGTAACGGTAAATGTTTCACACCCTCAACAACACAAAGATGATTTAGGAGGCCGGCTGCTTTGACCCTGCCTGTCAGGTCCTGCCCAGCTAGGTGCGATACAGAAGTACAGCAGATAGGTGTTGGAATATTCCGATTTACAATAAAGCTAGCAGCAGAAGAAGGGGAGGGGGGTTAGTAGGCATAACTCCTTCTTTGTTGGGTCCGATCCTGGATCTATATTGCTCCAATCGTACACAGGGTACACCTTTAGGACGTCAGTGTTGTTTTTCTTAATCACTAGTATCATACACAAGTATTACGGTAACTAAAAAACCTCACCGGCCACTCCCACTTTTCGCACGTCAACACCGAAGCGGTCACCGTGACCCAGCACGTAGCGAGTGACGTCCAAGCTGTCGTGGATGGCCGCCGGGAAGGGATGGTCCGGAGCCAGGCGGTAACTGAGGAAGACAGATGAGTCAGCGGGTCATGGTCCTCTTGTTTATTCATATTTTTTTTTGGAGGGGGAAGGGGGTTCTCTTTTCGTTCTGCCTATCCATTGGTCCGTACCTCGTTCTGTCTCTCCATGTGTCAGCCTGTATGTCCCTCCTTCCTTTTGTCTGTCTGTCTGTCTGTCTGTCTGTCTGTCTGTCTGTCTGTCTGTCTGTCTGTCTGTCTGTCTGTCTGTCTGTCTATCTGTCTGTCTGTCACTCACTTTCTCTCTCTCTCTCACTCACACACACGCACACACAAAAGTGCACACAAACACACACACACACACACACACACACACACACACACACACACACACATACACACACAAATAAACATGGGCAAACCCCCCCAGGGCAGTGCTACTGACTGAAGTGTCCTTAGGCCATTCCCAAAGAGGGGATATCAACATGTTCTTATGCACAGTTCGGTTGAATTGTAAATGGATTGATTTATCAATGCCATACTGTGCCAGAACAACATAGGGGGGGGACTGCTGCTTTTTCTTTCCTCATCCTTACTATCGTCATTTTTCTTCAACTTCTTTTATGTTTGTCACTCTCTTGTGAACCTCTATTTCCGGGGTGCCTTGATGATTGATGCAGACTCTGTGCTGTTGAGGCTAGAGAGGTGAATAAAGTAAGCCTGATTCCCCATTTGGACTTTTCTGTTACATCCACGCCGCGGCGTTCATATGATCTTACGCAGTAAAACCTTACAAAAACAACAACAAAACAAACATGGGAAAATTTTACAAACAATGTCAACATACAAAAATATAAACATGAGTAAAAATCAACGCATGAACCAAGACTCAGTCATAGACAAGTGAGTAAGAAATACAGCATTTTATCTTTTACGATGAATTTTCATTTCAAATGTCAACAAATCATTTTTATCTCCTTAATCCACAATTCTTCACAACCAGTTTGCTTCACTATACTATATAAATATATATAATATATTATATTGGCAGTTCAAAACTTGGATAGCACAGCACAAGCATGTGACAACCACATCGTGAAAAAAACCCAACTTACTCAACACAGAAGACCACTGTACCACTTCTTTTAGCATATTCGTAACAATGCTGGTCGTAAAAGGCTGCAAAACATAGACGTGAAGTTATTCACACTTTAGTTTAGTTTTAGAATTAGTAAGTGTTTTATGGCATTTGCAACACAATAAGGTCATATAAGTGCCAAAGATTAGAGGTGTTACAAGAGAGTAACAAACACAAAAAAGGAGAGGATGATAGGTGTTTGATCGGCAAGAAGAAGCAAACCACACCAAAGCCGCACCAACCACCCTCATAATAATAATAATAATAATAATAATAATAAAAATAATAATGATAATAATAATAATAATAATAATAATAATAATAATAATAAATAGCATTTATACTGCGCATTTCCATTTTCTAAAAGATGCTCAATGCGCATTACAACGAAAAAGACATCACATCTTAAAAATTAATCGACAAGTGCGTACGTAAAACAACGTATTATACATATAATATAAACGCATATGTGTAAAATTTTATATGAGAAAAATAGTCTCGCAGTGAGGTTGGAAATGTGTTCACTAAAAAATACAATGCAATAAAAATTCACGAACGGTCACAACAAGTTGAAACGTGAGTAACTTGAAACATTCATTAAAACATTATATTCACATTGCATGTAGAGCAAACAGCACGTTTATTTAAGCAGGACTTCCACATAGAGTAACCATTCGGACTATGGGAACCGCTGATGAAAGTTGAGGAAATTACAATGAAATCAATCAAATAAAAAACCAACTAATTCACTAACTGTATATTTGTAAAAGAAAATCAAGTTTAATTAAGAGCAAGTCATAAAAAAGTGAAGAAATTATCTAAATTTGTGGGAAGACAAAAGTGACAGCCTGTTTTTCACTTGACACCTTTATAACATCGGCATGTTGTTGAAAGCTCCATGTCCCAAAATGAAGCAAAAATCTAGCTTTTGATAACATGACCAAGGCTGAAATGTCTTAGAAAGACTTTAAACGACACAAGAAGAGACAGATAATGAAACAAAGTCATCAGGCAACAAGTGGGTGTCAAGTCGAGGACGAAGTTCATCAAGAGAAAAGGCAAATGGTTTGGACAAAGATACATTGTATGTGTCATGACGCGGTGGAGTCAGATGCTCGTCAATTTCGGGGTATACTAAGCTTAATATGGAGTTATCGGTATCATCTTAAATCCTGTCCATTCGCCTTTTTTTTTGGATGAAAGAAAATATCCCTTTATCTTGGATACAAGTCAAGATATTTGCGATTGAAGGAGGTGGGGGTCGCTTGATTTCAGAGGTAAAATTAGCGAGAAAATGGCCAAGAAAGTTGAGTTATTTCCTTAGTTTGAGACTAGGCCTACGTGGAGACAGAGAATGTACATCTTTTATGCCTTTAATTAAGTAAAACCCACACAGAAATGTGTTCTTTAATATGCATGAAATGCGTTGAGTCAAAAGACAAAAATTCCATCAAAATTTCCAAACCTGCCCAAAAATGACACTTCCTTGACTTGTTTTGGTGAGCGCCTGATTTCACCACGCGCCTCACATAGATCTATAATATGTAAGAATGGGGTCACAACAGCAAACCGTTAACACTTTGACCCCAAGGGAAACTGATCAGCGACGGTAAGAAGACCCACGGGACACAGATCAGCGGCAATCTTCTCAATAAATGCTGAAAAATAATTTTCATTCTGTTTTTTTATATGACATTTTGCCGAGATACAGGTATGGTACAGATGTAAGGTATCTGCATCCTGGTCCGTGGGGACACGTGTCGTGTTGTGCGTTCTGCGCGCTGCGTGGGTGGAACGTGTTAAAAGGTCTACAACATAAGATCCAATAACACCAAAGTAAAGAGAAGAGCAAGATAAAGATGGACTGGTGAAGTCAAAGACGCCCTCCACAGGCACAATACGATGATCCTACAGGGAAACACACCTGGCCCATATCTTACAATTACATCTCCCCTCACCTACAAAAGGACAGAAAAAATGTAAAAGTGAAACAAGATAAGATAAGATAAGATAATGCTTTATTATCCTAAAGGGAATTTTTTCTTGGCCCACGGGACACTGATCAGCGGCAATTTGGATGGAATTTTTGTCTTTTGGCTCAACGCATTTCATGCATATTAAAGAACACATTTCTGTGTGGGTTTTACTTAATTAAAGGCACATAAGATGACAATTTTCTGTCCCCACGTAAAAACACAAGCAGGTATATACATGTAAATTACATATTACTCTCATTAAAATTTAAAAATTGAAAAGAGAAGTAAAGCTGAATATCACATCAGATTTACATATATCATTCAACCACTAGCAGGAATTTAATTACAAGACCTTTAGAATTATATGCTTATAGATAGATACATTCTCTAAAGAGCTATATACAATGATGTTTATTCTGAAAATAGCCTTATTTGTGAGGCAGCGTGGTGGAATCAGGCTCTCGTCAAAATAATCAAAATGAAGAAACTTGCTTTTTTCCACAGGTTTTTGAATTTTCACCAAATTTTGGTTTTTTGCCTCAACACCTTTCATGCCCATTAAAGAACTCATTTCTGTGTGGATTTTTCTGAAAACGTTAATTCAAGGCACAAAAAACGTAAATTTTCAGTTAACACGGACTCTAAAGCTAAGGAAATAACTAATCTTTTGAAGCCATTTTCTCACTCACTTTACCTCTGAAAACAAGTGACCCCCACCTCCTTTATTTGCAAATATCTCGACTTGTATTCAAGATAAATCCAAATAAAGACAAGTGAACAAGCTTCAAAATCATTCCTATAACTCTACATGCCCAAAAATTAACGAGAACCTGATTCCACCACGCTGCCTCACTTATGTAGATGGTAAAAAAATTCTTTTATTTCTGTCTTTCTTTGTTTTTAGAGGTATATATCTTCCGCTGCGTAATCTGGCAACTTGAGTGGAAAGGGGGAGTGATGGGTCGTTTATTTATCAATCCTAGATCCCAGATCTAGTCTCTCAGAGTTACATACTACCAGATCCAATCACGAAGGCCCCGCCGTGGAAGTAGATAGTGGCCGGAGCTTTCTGTCTCGCCGGCAGCGGTCGGTAGATGATCACGTGGACTCCGGCCAGCTTGTCACGTTTTACCTGGGGGGAAATAATAACATTGGTAATAATTAGTTGTTTGAATAACTTGACAGATAATAACATCATTAATAATAAGCTGTGTGAAAAACTTGACAGATAATAACCATATTAATGAAAATAAGTAGTGTGAATAACTTGACAGAAAGCACAAACACTAATAATAATTCGTTCGAATAATTAATAACTTGATAGACCAAAACAAAACAACAACAACAACACTAATAATAAGTCTTTCAAAGAATATCACAGATTATAACAACACCAATTAATACTTTGTTTAAAAAAACTTGATAAGATAACAACGACATTAATAATAAGTTGTTCAAATAATTTCACATATTATAACTATCACTAATTAATAAATTGTTTGAAAAAAAACTTGATAGATAACAACAACATTAATAATAAGTTGTTCAAATAATTTCACATATTATAACGTACACTAATTAATAAATTGTTTGAAAAAAACTTGATAGATAACAACAACATTAATAATAAGTTGTTCAAATAATTTCACATAATATAACTAACACCAATTAGTAAATTGTTTGAAAAACTTGACAGATTAACCTCACATTTCCTAGACACCCAAGACTGTGTTTCTCCTCAGCTGACTATACACCGGAGACCCCAAGCCCCCCCCCACCCCCCTTCCAACAATCAAAACACCCAAACATCCCCCCGGACTCCTTCCCCCAAATCCCGACATCCAGACCCCCCTCCCAGACCCACTCCCACCATGACGACACACACACACACACCCGCCCTTCACATCCTCCCTACACCTACTTTCTCCACCCAACTCATCCGTATCCCCATACCCACCTTACCCACCAATCCCCACGCCTCATACCACATCCCTACTTTTCCTTACACCTTTGCCATCCCACCCCCTAAAAAAACAACCCGCAACCACTCGCACCCCTACCCAATCCCCACAGCCTCCATCCCCACCCCTTTTCCCGAATCCCAATCCCCACCCACACTCTTCCACCCTAATCTCCACACTCCACCTGTGAAAATCATAAACATCATGGCAGACTTTTAACTAAACCAGTTATCAGACTGGTGTGGTGGTAGACCATCAACTAAACCAGCAGCAAACAATCGACTCACATCCACATCCCCGTAAGAAGCAGACGACAGAGAGCCCTCGCCCAGTGGCTCCTGGTAGGTCCGGATATCCTGCGCCAAGCTGCCATAGCCCAACAGCTCTCGGATTTTTGTCTACAATAAATTAATGAAAATGGTAAATGCTCAAAAGTGTGATGGCTTGGTTAAGAGTACAGCAAATTATAATACAAAGCCGAAAGGACTCTCCTACCCGAAACCTTCTCTGTCGAGCAAGTCTCTCCGGATTGCGTCGTAGAATGTTCGCACCTTGTATGAAGCAGGAAAGAGTTCTCAAGTAGTACAAGAGATGAAGAGATACAGGCTGCACATACTAGGAGTCAGCGAAACACACTAGATACCGTCTGGACAGAAGCAGCTTAGCTCGGGGGAACAAGTATTGTATTGTAGGGCCAATATTTTAGCCTTTCACGTCTCCAAAACTTGACTAGTTTTGGGGGCGACTTTCTGGCCAGTTGGTTGTGCACGGGCAGCAGTTTTTCCCAGTGCACTGATGAGTACAAACAAGATCGACTGGAGACTAAAAACTCAACGTGAGAAGAGAGCGTCAGTCCTAGCAGTAACAGAGACAACACACAGCAGTCGCCGGGCGCCCGAGGACCCACGAGATCTACGCCGTTGGAAGTGAAAGGTAACATAAGATAAATACTACAGTATTCTGGGAGGGAAGACAGGCACCATGCGGAAGGAGTGGGAATCATTTTGAGTAAGTATGCACAGAAGTCACTTAGAGGATAGGAACCACACAGGGAGAAGGTCATCATGGCTTCATTCACTGCAAGGAGCCAGAGCATCAACATGAATATAGTCCAAATCTACGCCCAAACAAAATGATACTTCGGATGAAGACAAGGATGTCTTTTACAGTCTGCTCAAGGGGGTCGTCGACAAACTACCAAGGAAGGAAGTCAACATCATAATGGGAGATGCCAATGCCAAGATTGGTCTGGAAAACGTAGGGTATGAAGGAATTATGGGATAACATGGCTCGGGACAAATGAATGAGAAAGGTGAGCGATTCGGAAATATAATATGTTTTTTCAACAGTTTTGTCATTGGAGGCTCTGCTTTTCCTCAAAAGAGGATTCACAAAGCTATATGGGTTTCGCCAGATGGAGTGACGGAGAACCAGATAGATCAGTTTTGTATCACTCGTAGGTTCTGGCCTTCACTGGAAGATGTCATAGTACAGAGAGGGGCAGACGTTGGATCGGATCATCGTCTGCTATTGGCAAAACTCAAGCTTCCACTAAAAAAGCACGGAACCAGCACAGTTCCAAGTAAGTCTCTTAGATGGACACGAGAAAGAGGAGTTTCAACTGCAGTTGAGGAACAGATTTTAACCTTTGACGGATCTTGGTGGAGAGGACATGGAGGAGGAGATACACTGGATCAAGGTCAAAGGAGTCTTTATCCCAACATGTCAAGAAGTACTCTGTGTGAAGAAATGGGAGCACAAGGAATGGATTAGCCAAAACTCATTGGATTTAATTAGAATAAGAAGACAACTGAATGCAGAAGCAAATGCAAGTAGAACAAGAGGTTCAAGAGCGGATGCATTGGAGCAGTACAGGACAATAGCTAAGAATGTCAAAAAAAATCACCAAGAAAAGACAAGGAGGAATTCATGAACAGGCTGGCACAGAAAGCAGAGGAAGCAGCGGTTGAAGGGAACACGCGAATCCTTTACCAGACCACAAAGAGTCTGGCTGGAAAATACCGGAAACCTGAAGTAGCTTTAAAGGACAAAGAGGGGAAAACCATTTTTGGAAAGGAAGCTCAGTCGAAACGATGGGTAGAGCATTTCAACAGTCTCCTGAACAGACCACCACCGAGTAACCCGTCAAACATCCTGCCAGCAAGAAATGAGTCACCAATCTGCTGTGATGCTCCTTCGAAACAAGAGATTCGGGATGCCATTAAGAAGCTGAACAAAGATAAAGCGGCAGGTCCTGATCAGGTTCCACCTGAATCCCTAAAAGCAGATGCCGATGTGACGGCAGACCTCCTTCTCCAACTGTTAACCAGGATCTGGAATGAGAGCAAGTTTCCAAAGGATTGGAAAGAAGGACATCTCGAGAAGCTTCCAAAAAAGGGGGATTTCAGCAACTGCAGCAACTACAGAGGGATCACTCTTCTCTCAATACCAGGTAAGGTCTTCAACAGAATCATTCTGGAGAGAATCAAGACAGCAATGGATCCAAGACTACGAGATGAACAGTCTGGTTTCCGGAAAAATCGCTCAACCACAGTCCAGATTGCCACGCTGAGGATTATTGTGGAGCAGTCCCTTTTGTGGAACTCCCAGCTGATCGTCAACTTCCTTGACTATGAAAAGGCATTAGACAGTATAGACCGAGCAACACTGTGGAAGACACTGAGACATTACGGAATCCCACAGAAGTTGAAGAACCTCATCAAGAGCATGTACGGAGGGACAAGTTGTATGTGTGTATATGTGTGTGTATGTGGGTGTGTATGTGTGTGTAGGTGTCGACATGTGTGTGTGTGTGTTTGTGTGTGTGTGAATGCTGTGTATGGGTGTATCACAAACCCTAGTCTTAGTAGTTTTAAGGCACTTGCAACACAATAAGATCATATAAGTGCAAAAGAATAAAATATGTGTTACTAGAGAGTAACATATACAAAAAAAAGAAGGAGGAGAGATAAGGACGAGAGATGATCGATAGGAAAGAAGGAGCAAACCACACCAGAGCACCCGCCAACCACCCACTATCACAAACCAAAGTAATCTTAGAAAAACAAAAAGTTCCCAGTGTAAATACACAGACAGTCAGACAGACACACACACAGACAGACCGACACTCAGACACACAGACACACAGACACACAGACAGACACACAGACAGAGCAGGAAGCACCTACCACAGAAGTGAACAGCTGCATAAAGGCCATAACGACCTGTGTCTTCCCTGGGTTGGATATCCCTTCAGGCAGCGGGGTGTAGAGGAAGAGGCCGAGGAACACCGAGGACAGGACTGTCAGCGCCAGCAAACCCTTGATGATCATCCTGGCTGGCCGGGGGACTAACAAACAGACAGGAGTTGTTAAATGTTAATGTTATTTTATCTATTTTTTTAAAACTGGGATTGTTTGGCCGGTTTGTTTTGGAGGGTTTGTCTTTAGTTTGTTTTGTTGTGTGTTTTGGTTGGGTGGGGGGGGGGGGGTTGGGTTAGTTTTTTGTTTTTGTTTGCTTTGTTTCTTATTTTTTGTTTGTCGTTTTTTTAAATTTAAAATTTAAAAAAAAAAAAAAAAAATTTTTTGTGAGGGGGGGGGGGGGGGTGGTAAGTGGTTTTTTTTACGGCGCTCACAAATGCATAAAGTCATATGAGCGAACGGGATGTTCAGTATCGTAGGAACTTTTACTGAACTTTGCCGGGGTGGCAACCGAAGCATACCCTTTTCGATTTTAGGACCACAAAGGGATCTTTAACGTGCGAAACCTGCACTTGGGATCTCAGAGATTTTCCGGCCCTTATCCTAGAGGCTGAGTGTTTCGATCTTAACCGCCCTAAGATCAGGAGTGTGGCTGAGAGACAGCAGTACAAAGAGCGAGGAGTAGCAGTAGAAAGTGTCAGGGGCACAGAGGAGGAGGGAGAGCAGAAAGTGGAGAAGAAATAGATGACAGAACATACATAGGGAGCAGGAAAGAAGGGGAAAAAAGAACATTTTAGAGAACAAAATTTTCTGTCACAGTCCGGTTTCGAGCATGGGACCTATTGAATGAAAGACGTACCTCAAGACCACAAAGCCCCCCCCCCCTTTCCACCCCACCCCTCTCCCCCAAACTTGAGTGAATAATTGGGGTTCTAGTTCTATAAAGAATTCTACGGCACTTGTAACATAATAAGGTCACACCAGTGTCGAACACAAGCGGTGTTACTGGAGAGTTACATTATACAAATATAAGGAGGAAAGATAAGGATGACGCTTGATAGCAAAGAAGGAGCAAACCAATTACGCTGGACAGGGTCAAAGAAACATTGAATTATAGGAAAGAAGGCGGTCTGGTGGTTTAGGATCTTGGAGTCCCAGTCACAATGTTCTCATACCGTCAGGCAGTGAGATGTACAGGACAGGACCAGCTATCACAGAAGACAGGACCGTTGGTGCCAGGAATCCCTTGAAGAACATCGGGGCTGGAGGGGTTGCTTTTTGTTTTAGTAAGAGTTTTATGGCACTTGCAACACAATAAGGCCATATAAGTGGCGAAGAATAGAAGTGTTACAAGAGAGTAACATAATATACAATAAGAAGGAGGAAAGATAAGGACGATAGATGCTTGATAAGAAAGACGGAGCAAACCACGGTAGAGCT